AAAAAGAGGAAGAAAGTTTTTAATAACATATTCGATTAAACAATTTGTTTAAAAAATATATTTATTGTTGATTTTTTTAAAAACCGCTCGACCGATTTCGATAAAATTTATATGGGACCACCTTGGAAGTATGACCTATATATACCGGATATAAAGCTCTTTCAAAGAAAATTTTTCCAAATTGGTTCGAGTAATCGGTGAACATAAAAAAAAGATTCCGACGAATTAAGAACCTCCACGTTTTTGGAAGTCGGTTACATACTACACAATACATACTACATAATACATTTTATCCCCAAACATTACAACCTTTGACCCTTTTAAGAGATGAATTTCAATAAATCTGATATACGTATTGCTTTACCCCCATATGGAATGAATTTCGAAAAATGCCATACACGTATTTATTTAATTGTATTGAAGAGCATTAATATTATCAAGTTTTAAATAATTCTGATCATAATTTTTTTTTGGGTTGCATTATAATGTATTTTCCCGTGGGAATGAGATAATCTTCCGCGGTAAAAAAACCTATGCCACTCTCCAGACCTCCAACTATCTCCACACAAAAACACGCCAATCTGTCACTCTGTTCCGCAGTGAAAGAAGGACAAACAAACAAACACACTTTCACATTTATAATAGTAGTATGGATATAACAATCTTATGACGTAATGTTAAAGCCAAAGACTTTGTTTTCCTGAACGGAACAACATATCAGTTTCGGCAAACAAAATAAAGGGTAACCTTGGCCCACTTAAACATATGTTCCTTAATACATCGGCGTCAGCATGTCGCTTCAATCAAGTCCTGCTTACGGCAGTCTCAACCGCAAATCGGATCGACCACACCACAATTCGAATCCATAGCTATTTCCACGATATATTTGCGTAACTATATTCAAATTAGACTACTATGCCGTCTATATACAAATATTGTACAGGAAAGATGGTTTTTTTGTTTGTTTGTACCGAATAGGCTCCGAAACTACTGAATTGACTTAGATGAAATTTGGTAATAAGATAGTTTGAGAACCTGGCAAGGATATAGGGTAGTTTATAGTTTGAGAACAAGGATATAGGGTAGTTTTTATTCCGGAAATCATTCCTCAAAGAGGTGAAACTGGGGATGAAAGGTTGTATGGAGAATCGACCCGAGCGAAGTGAGGGTGAGTCGCTAGTATATTATAAATGCGAAAGCTTGTATGTACATATGAGTATGTACGTACGTGCTAGTGAATTTGTAGGAATTTTAAAATACTAACTGAGCCTAAATAAATCTACAGGAATACAAATACAGTAAATAGTATAAAAGTAAATATTTGGATTTCCCTATCCAAAAAGTGGTTTATATATGGAAGTGGTTTATATATGTCATAAACCAGTAATTGTGATATAAACATAAATTATATGAAATTTTATACGAATAATTCAAATCATAAAAATCTTACTGCATCCTTAAAGCTTTTTACTTTTCGCAGTTAGTTTAAAGTATGCTACGAGTCTATGAAAAGTTTTTTCATATTCTAACAATAAACTACATAGATAAATATGAGGTAGCTCTCTTTAACAAAGTAGGGCAAAGTTCATGGAAACAAAAATGCTATAATACTTATTGCAAATAGTTCAATGAAAATAATAATTACAATCATAATACACCTAATAACTAAAATTCTCGCATTGATGAATACATGAGAATTTTACGCGAGAATGCTTCGGAAAATCTATGATTGGAATATAGTGCAATATAGTAATGATAATGTTGAATGTATAATCTATATATATAATAAAATTGTAACCAAGCCGAATATGTACATTAAATATTTTTTGGAAAATCGTATTAAAATATATATAATTATCAATACAGAGGTTGCAATTTTTAGATTTTTTGTCTGTCTGTCTGCCTGTTTGTGACCGCATCACGAACAACGTCTGGACAGATTTTAATAAAATTTGCTATGATGATAACTGGTATTCGGGTCAACATATCGGATATTTTTTACTGCGGGAAAATATCTCATCTCTGAGATATCTATACTAAACGTTAAATCGTAATTAGGATCGATCCCGAGCGGAGCGAGGGTGAGTCGCTGGTGTTTAATATAAAATAATAGCTTTGCATGTAAAGCAATAAGTATAAAACTAAGTTACAATTTACCAAGTTTAAATGTATAAGTAGTGTAGCCTTTTCCATTTATAATATGCCCACATTAACTTCTCGTGGTCTTCATTATAAAGTATTACTTTTTATTTTGTATAAATATAATATACCAGAATATACTCGTATGTAACTCATTTTAGAGCATGAAACTTTCATAATTTTATTTCACCCCTGTCTAGTCTCATTTTTGCGATGAATAGTAAGGCCTTCTCCAAGATCTCATCTATCTCTATACCAAAATTCATTGAAATTGTTTCAGCGGTTTAGGCGTCAAAACAGACATACAGAGTAGAGTTACTTTCGCATTTATAATATTAGTATGGATTTCCACCTAATCTTATAAAAGTAAAAAAAAAATTGTTGGTTTTCACTGATAAACAAATTATGATACGATTGAATTGTAATATGGATATCTTGTACATTGTGTGTATTGTCTACTTATTTTTATATTTAAAACTTAATAAGAAAATATGTCTATAAAAAAATATTTATAATAAACAAAAAAATATTTGCTATTCCGAACATGACAGGCATTGACTTAAAAGATGAATCTTTATAAATTGACCATACAGATATTAAATTATACCCTCTCTCCTACATCCGTTGCTTCTTAAAAAAAAATAAAGTATAGGTGGAAAAATGAAAAATAATCTTTGAATTCCTCCCAATAATATACAGAACCCACCTTCATGCATTTCCGATACACATATTATCCACATTATTATATTTTACTCTAAATTTGACAGAATCCATTAATATATTTACTCAGTTTTATTTATACTTATAATACGTTATACTCACTTTGAAAGATAAGAAGACAACGTAATTTGCAGTATTCATTGAAGAGTTTAGAAGAAGAATTAAACAAATGGTAATTTTAAAACTACAGTGTAGACGAGCATGCTACGTCTAGACGGTGTGAGAGAGGGATTAAAGTAGAAATATCAAAATATATCTAAGTTTTATTAAAAATAACAGCGTTTAAGGTAGCTTTATTTCTAAAATAACTAGTAAACATAGTGTATAAAACGTGCAGTAAATATAAATCTAATGACTATACTAATAAAAAATACTTAGAACAATAACTTTTTATATAATACTTATTCATTATACTTATAGCTGTATAATCTGTCATGCTGCGTTTGATTTTTAGCATGAAACCCTAAAAATCCTTTTTATCCATAATTAAATTTCAAACATTTCTTCTCAGTGGTTTCTTACGAATATGTTACTGTAAAGTACTTTATACTGTAAAAAAACATTCGTTTTTATAAACCTTATATTAAACTTTATATGTTGCGTAGAAAATTTTAATACGTTAAGTACAAAAAAATATTTGAAATAAAAAAGGCACAATTTTTATATTACCTACATATATAAAATATTGATACTACTACAGATTTTTTTAAATTGGTCACCAGAAAATGGCCGTGCATTTACCAACTATTATATAAAATCACTTTCAAGTTATTCTCAAGAAATCTATTTTTCATTTTAAAACGAAGTCTTGAAGTCATAAATTATCGTATTCGTCCCTCTCTCTACAGGATCTAAGTCTACATAGGTCGGCATTATGCTAATAGCGTAACAGAAACTCAACAGGATCGTGCTTAATCAACTAAGGTATATTCGTTTGTGGCTTTATATATTATCACTTCAGATCCCTGACAGACTTACATCCTGATATTTTATTTAAATTTAAAATTTTAAATTGACGATTCAAAAGTGCTTGTAAAGGTCTGTTTGAATAAAATATATTTTGATTTGTATTTGATCACCACCTTTCCCCAAAAACAAAATGTGAATAAAATAACATAAATATATGTATGTATTACTCAGAGAGGTTTTCTTGATAATATTTTAAAGTACTTTTATTTGCCACACCTTTATTTTTTTCCTTGTGAAGAACTTAGAAAGAATAATACATATATTGATCCAATTTGGACTTCATTTGTAATAGCAAGGTTATTGACTCTCATTAGAGAGTCACTATAAACAAATATAATAATAAAAGAAAATAAATAATATTTATTATTTAATTTTATAGGATGGGATCAAACTTTTGATCTTAATCACATCCAACATCCTCACTACTCAACTGCGATAAAAACGTCCAGCAAAAGGCTATAAACAATGCTTCAATGTTGATACGTTTATATGTATTTTAATGACAAACTATACATATACAAAAATAGACTTCATATAGGATATCATATTGTTTTATTTCATCATTAAGTATAATTTCATAGACAGGTAGATCATCCAAATAACGAAATTATCATATATCAATTATTAAAGTATTGAAATATCCTACTAAAATCATAAATGCCAAAGTTTGTGAAGATGTATGAATGTCTGGATGTATGAATATATAGATGTTTGTTAGTTTTTCACGCTAAAGCTACTGGATAGATTTTAATGAAACTTTACCATCATATAGCCCATATATCAGAATACTCTTTACCGTGAAAAAATGTGCAATTTCCGTGGAATATATTTGTTTTTTTTTCTAGATGCGCGGGTGAGCAAAGCGAGTGAGCCGCTAGTGTAAAATAATAATTTCTTTTCAGTAATAAGTTTTCATTAATAAAATTAAAAAAAAAATACAAAAGTAAGTGCTTTCAATATTGCACAAACATAGTTATATTATAAAATAACTCATAATTTTAACTCTTCACCTAAATACAAACTTATGCGCAGATTTTTAATACCCAATGTATTATTACAGTAAGTATACATTGTCATAAAAATAAAGTTTTAATACAACTTTTTTAGTTCAAGCAGTTTGACGTCGTTACCTTAAATTACGTGGGAAGGCAATAGGAATAAGGAAACTTCTATTTATGAGGATGCATCGTTACAAAGTTTTCTAGCCACTTGCCAAAAGCAAAATCTTTCGATGAGTTCCATTTCCTCAGTTCCTGCAGCATTTCGTGCAAAATGTCGTGTCTTGGGAAAAACAATGTTGTTATTTGTATAAAAGTTTTCATAATTTTGATTGTTTCAGCTTTATTTCCAACAACTGACGACAGCTGAAAATGTGATAGTTTTACTTTAAGTAATATGAGCAACAAAAGTAATTTAGAATACCTTAATTTGTTTTAACCATGGCAACCTTCGCTAGAGATCATCGTGACAGATAGACTAAAGATGGTGGCTTCTATATCTAGACGAGGTAAATATAAATGGAAAAATGAAAGGATTCTAAACAAATAATCTAATCATAATTTTCATATTACAATTAAATATATACTGTGCCATCTAAACATTCCTAGAAAAACGACATAATAGGACTGTAAATATAAAAGCACTGCTGCATTTCTTTTCATTTACGGTTTCTCAATCTATGTATTTTTTTTTCTAGTTCATTTCAACAAGTCCAGCTAATTAAAGAAAAAAGCAAAAACAATATAAAGGCTTACCAGCCGTGACGGTCGAACCCGTTTGGAACGTGCTCCGGGTTCTAAAGTCCCTGAGTAAATAATAAAGGAAGTCGGGGAACCGCGACCGTTGCACGTAAACTTTGTAGCTCTTATTTCTCTGGACGTAGGGAGTACAATTCATTATAAATATAATTTTCCGTGGACTATGCTCCTGAAATATTAATTGCCTGAAGTGGTTATGGAATGAGGAGCACCATTGAGCACGATTGCGAATTAGTTATATTTAACCAAAATAATAGGATGGAGTTGGGCTTGTATCATACTATTGATATAAATGCAAGAGTTTGTATGTGTGTGTTTGTTACTCCTTCACATTGAAGAGGCTAAATGGATTTGGATGTTTAGTACACAAATAAACTTGGTTACTTTTTTTTATTTACTCCTAAGGAAATTAATTAAAATTACAAATAACTTATTTATATATACAAAACAAATGTACCCTTAATTATTACTTTATAAATCATGTCCGCGTGGCTTTATATCAAGGATGTTAGCCGCCATTCTCCTGCTGAATGGCAATGCCGATCTTTAGAAGAGAAATAACCAAGCCAACTCTTTTGTTACCTTTAGAGGCGACAAGACCAGGTGTTTTGTCTTTTAAGAATGTTAAGTTTAAGATGTGTTTAGCATTTCGACGCCTCAGGCCAAAGTTTTCTACAGCAAATGGTATAAAGGTATAATTTTGATTAAGGGAGGTAAATTTACGCAACTTAAATATTTCAGCCTTTTCCGCTACGACCCTCACATTAGACGCCAGCTCCCTAACATGCAACGGGGTCAACGTGTCAACGTATATAGCGTTTCTTTTCCTAAGGAACAGACAACAAACTATCAGGCCATTTGCTGTCATCTTGATTTATTCCATAAAGTTCCATAAGAGCAGGAGCGTTTATGGCGGCAAGAGCCTTATCATTTAGAGAACCATGATGAAAATGTCTACCAGAGCTTCTTCTACAAAAGAGTATATAGAGACCATAGCAGTCAACCTCTTTTCCACACGAGCTCTTGCGCTCAGTACAAAGAGGTATACCCAGCCGGAGATCCAAAGTAATACGGAAACTATCATTGTCCAGAAGTGTACAATAGTTTGATTTCTTCATTCGTAGATATAAACTTTACATTTCATAATATTAGTACCTATGTAGTAGTTTATTCAGTATCAACAGATTATAGACAATTTACTTTTTTATAAAAAATACTGATATTTAAACATATTTAATAAACTGTACAAACATTTTGCGCGATACAATGTTCCATTTTAATTCATGTTCTTATCATATCTACACAATTTCAAGTTAAGTATTTTACAGAGCTTTTATCGGTTATTGTAACAATGCAATTGCAGGAACAAAGATAATGTTCAATTCAACAGAGAGGTTTCAAAGCAAAGAAATCACTAGGTACCCATCTGTAGGCGTAGAACGTTCGAGGTCGAATGGTGCGCCCTATCCGATTACAAGGGGTGACTAGCGCTTGCCGATAAGGGCAACTACAGACTAAAGACTATAATTAAACATGAAATATACGATTTGTATATTTTTATTAGATGTTATATATAATATAACAAAATATTTTGATAAATATTTTATTTAACAATATGATTCATCGATGATGATGATGATGATAACTGCCTCGATGGTGTAGTGGATAGCTCGTACAGCCGCACATTCGGAGGTTCTGTGTTCGAGTCCCGGGTCAGGCCGGGTTTAGTTATTAGGTTTTGAAATCTCAGTAATAATCCGAAGTTGGTAAGTTAGCGAAGCTTTACCTCCCTGTGTTAGAAAGTATGTAAAGCTGTCGGTCTTGCTCTCTTACTGGTCGTGTCGAATTTGTCGTGCCATCGGAATTTGAAAGTGACAGGAACAGAGAGTACACTTTTATTTGCGCACATACTTATGCACTATAATATCTTCTGCTCATACAGCTGGTCTCAGTGAAATTGATCGCCGTAGAGGAAATCGGTTAGTAGGACTTTATCATTATCATTAACAATATGATTTCTTTGCGCTTAGTGCGAAATTTATTATTTCTTTAACCTAATTTATTTTACCTTTAGTTTAAATCTTTTTTATAAGAATATATTTTTTCATAGGAATAGTAATAATTCTAATTTCAGTATACTAGTAATAAATTATCTCTATGAAATTCTTTGTTTGTAATTTTTTAACAGCAATTTTAATTGTTTTGTGTGTTTGATATATCTAACTTATTTAACCTAAAAATATTATTTTTCTATTAACTATGAACCTCACAAGTTTTATATATTTTTTTGTTATTTTAAAGTTCTATATCATTTTTTAACGAAAAAAAAACTAATAAATGACAACTGTTTGTATATAAATATTTAGTATGTGTGTACAACATTTAATATGTTGTCTTATTTATTCTATACTGAAGACGATACTATTTATTATCAGAATATATTATTTGCTTTGATTTTTCCCTATAGCTTCATCTATAATTGATTAAATGCTTTTCGGGATTTCCAGTATTTTACCAAAACATTAATAACCTTTACCGATAAAAATAGAGCCATTGAATTCAGGAGGCTATACCAAGCTAAGTTTTGTAAATATTCACCGAATCGTTAGTGTCGGATGTCCGAGGTCGATTGACGCACCCTGTTCAGTTACAGGGGGTGCCCGGTAATACTGATAAGACAAAGTATTGTAGGCATCTGGCATTTTACACTTTATTTTCCCTCAAAACTTCGTGTATTTCTATCCTTCTAATTCTAGACATATTTTATTTAGTTAATTTACATACAATAAAATTGGACTAGGCAGTGGTAGCCCAGTGATAACGCGCTAGCTGGGGAAACCAAATAAAGCGGGTTCAAATCTCAGGTCTCGTACCTCTGATATTTTCTTGTGGGAATCATTTCCAACGTGATTGCTACTGGTCTTACGGTGCAGGAAAACATCGTGAGGAAACTTACAGAACCTAGCTCGTTTTTGAAAGAGATGTGAAGTCCACCAACCCGCACTTGGCCAGCGTGACCGACTATTATGAACTGATCCCCCTCGTATTGAAGGGAGGCCTGTGCCCAGCAGTGCAACAATTTAATATATACAAAATTGGACTACCCTAATTAGGAATATTTTATAATGCCTGGATAGAAATGCTTATCCTGAAGCTACTGAATAATCTTATTTTATGTAGATATGCATACAAAGATTTCTTCAATATAAAAAAGCAAATTTTGGTGACTATGGCATCAGTTCGTAACCGGGATATAATACGTCTTCGTCGTTCGTCAACGTCTTTCGAAAACTAGATCTTCAGTCTTGTAGGTTCCTCCTGATGATTTCCTTCACCACATTAGCAAGTGATAAGCATGTTGAAAATGATTCAAATGTAAATTTTAGAGCATTCTTTCTCTGCTATGCAGATCATTATACTATTTTTGTTTTATGCAGCTTGGTTGGTATTAAGCAAAAAAATCATAATTTACAGATTAGTAAATTTGTTGGCGAGATTTAAGCGGCAGATTCAATAGTACCGTCGGTATATTGAAGATTCAATTCATTGAATTGGTAATATAGACTACTATTATTGTTATGAAAATTATTTTTACATTGTTCGTTTAAGTTGTTTATTATAACGTAATCAAAATTTTTCTAGTACATTGTCTCATCATCTCTCATCGTCTCATCATTGATTCAGTTAAAGCATCTAATTCATTTTTTAATATTAAATATTGCTCCTATAATCTAAGCTAAACTAACATAATACTAAAAACATCGTTTAACTATAGTGTTATTTACTTATGCCTCCGTGGTTTAGTGGCTACCATGTACGGCTGCACACCCGGAGGTCCTGAGTTCGAGTCCCGGGTTGGGCCAAGTTTAGTTATTGAGTCTTTCTGTATAAGTAAGCCTCAGTAACAGCCCGGAGTTGGGAAGTTGGCGGTGTTTCACCCCCGTGCCTCGGAGAGCACGTAAAGCCGTCGGTCCTGCGCCTTAACTCTCACTGGTCATGTCGAGCAGTCGTCCCACCGGAATATGACAGTGACAGGAATAGAGAGTGCACTTGTGTCTGCGCGTACACTTGTGCACTATAATATCTTTTGCGCAGTTGGCTAGTCTCAATGAGATTGGCCGCCGTGGCCGGAATCGGTCGGGAGAACATCATCATTTACTTATGTAGACCACAAAAACACTATTCAGAATTTATTTACGTTTCGATAAAGTTTTTCAAGTTAATAATTAACAATACGAATAAGTTCATCTAAATTCAGCAATTTAACATACCAATTTGCAACTTCTACAACTGCATCCAAAGTTAAACTAAGGAACAAAAGCAAAACAACGAAAACGCGTAACTGGCTTATTTAAGCAGAATAAGTTAAAGATAAACTGTATAAACTCGAGAATTAAATGTTTCTTATATAAAAATGATTAATTTTATATTAAAGTAGCGATATATTTTCCCGCATATATATATATATATATATATATATATATATATATATATATATATATATATATACTGTTTTTTATCTTTAATATAAAGAATTCGTGTATACCACAGGCAGAAGATACATAGATCATATTTAGGCATAAACTGTCCGGGTTTGGAAGAAGGATTTTATTTATAAAAAAAATCTTCGATGGAAAATAGATTAAACTGTATCAAAGGTACAATGAAATGTAATATTATAAATTTAATAGTATAATATTTAGCCCTATACTTACCTCAATGCTACTTTGTATGTAGGTATACATTAATAAAATAAACCACGCTTTAAAGGATAGAAAAAACGTTAAAATCAAAATACATAATATTCAAAGTTGGTATTACGTTTCAATTTCAGATTGTTAGCCTATATAAAATATTTACAGTTCGAGAAGAATGGGCAATAGGATTGCACGCTCTCATTAAAAGCGTAGCTTACAATAGATCTTTTCATTATAGGATCTATTATTTGCTATAATAATAGATTCATGAAATAAAAGCTATCATCCGGTTGCTTTAGGTAATAAGATTGAAAAGAATCGTTTGATTCTTCTAAAGATTTAATTAATATTGTCGCGGTAAGTTTCAATAAATGATCGTCTGTCCAAAATAATATGAGTTTTTGTGTTTTAGGCGAGGGCTCTTATCGATCGATATTAATTAATAAACGTTACCAGAAGTTTTAAAATTTATACTAATATTATAAAGAGGTAAAGTTTGTAAGTTTGTGAAATTAAGAGCTTGTGACGTTGTAAGGGGTAAACTCTGGATCTACTGAACCGATTTAGATGAAATTTGGTAAGAAGATAGTTTGAGACCCTGGGAAGGATAGGATACTTTTTATCCCGGAAAGGGGATGAAAATGGGGATGAAAATTTGTATTGGGAAGCAAGCCAGGGACGAACCCGAGCGAAGCAAGGGTGAGTCGCTAGTGATATTATAAGCTAAACAATTATATATAATTGTTTAGCTTATAATATCGCGTATTTCTCTTTTAATAATTATTAGTCATATACAATATTTAACGTTTAGTGTAGATTTCTCAGAGATGAGATTTTTCCTGCAGTAAAAAGTATCCTATTTATTGACCCGGATAACCAGCTGTTATTATACCAAATTTTATCAAAATCTGTCCAGTGATTTTCTCGTGATGCGTTCTTAGCCAAACAAACAAAAAATCTAAAAAAATCTTTCAGTCCCTGTATCGATAACAAGGACTATTTCAATAAGATTTTTCCAAAAATATGTAATGTACAGATTCGATTTAGTTAGAATTTTATTAATTATGTATAGATGAACAATGTCTTAAAAAACTATCGAGATTATCAACTAATAATATCAGATTATCAAGTAATAATTTTGATATTGTATAAAATAATTTATCATAAAAAAGATAAGCATCGTCTAAAAAATCCTTGTCAATGAAATAGATGTAAGGATAATAAAAACAAGTCATTACTTAAAACAAATTGAGGGGACATCCCTTCAAATACACAATTTTGTTGCATTATTTATTCATACAATGGATATCTATTTTTACGCGACAATATTATAGTCTTGTAGAATAATATAATAAAGTTTGAATACCAAAACATAATTATAGTGCTTGTATAGGATGTCATGTCCACTACATCTATACTAATATTATAAAGAGGAAAGAGTTATATTTTTGTATGTTTGTGACGAATAAACTCAAAAACTACTTAACCGATTTAGATGAAATTTGGTAAAAACATAGTTTGAGACCTTGGGAAGGATATAGGATATTTTTTATTCCGGAAAGCATCCTTTAAGAGGGTAAAAATGGGGATGAAAGTTTGTATGAGGAATCAACCTACGGACGAACCCGAGCGAAGCGAGACTGAGTCGTTAATCTAAGTATAAGTTGCTCAATTATGTTAATTTAATTCAATATAAATGCTGTATCTTTGGTAGCGATATGAAAAAGGAAGTTAATCAATATTGGTGTGTGAGTTTTAAGTGTATGCTACGCGATATCTTCGCTTACTGTAGACCAATTTACGAAATCTCATAAAAAAATACACTTTTTAGGGTGAAAAAAACCTTCGGTGATTAATCAATGATTATGTTTTAATTAAAAATTTACTTAAAGCTACAAAATTCCCTGATTATTTGCACATATAGGTAAACATCATGTAAATAAATATATGAAAATCCATACAAAAAAATAATCAAATCGATATCAAATCAAATAAATCTTCTGATTAAAAACTTGAAAGCTTTGAATAAAATCGGAAAGTTTCTTCGACCGAAATCACTTGCACACCCAATTTAGCTTAAGTGTTCGCTGAAACTTAAAACTGACCGCATTTGAACGGTTAAAGTTTCAATTTTCAACACAAATCACGAGCGATTGCGATGCCCCTTTAGCGATACGAAAATGAGGAAATTAAAAATGTATACATACAATTTATGATATTTAATATGTATAACCCAGTGAGTATTTAAATTAAAATATGAATAAACTATTAGACTCGCGCTACAATATTTTACTGACAAAGTCAGTAATATTAGTTCACATAGATTTTCTATTTATTTAACCCCTTATAATGTCCTACTGCTGGGTACGACGGGAATCAGGCTATAGTCCACCATGCTGGCCAAGTGCGGGTTGGCGGACTTCATGTCTATAGAAAACTTGTTAGGTTCTCTTAGACAGATTTCCTCACGATATTTTCCTTTACCGTAAGACAAATGGTTAACATATTGAAAATGATTCGCACATCAAAATATCATAGGTCTTTCAACGTCTCGACGATGTCCCATTTTTTATTTTAGAATGATATTATATTTGTTCAAAAATTAATCGAAAAGGAACTCAGACATGTATCTTTGATCTTTTTATTTATATTTTATAAGGAAGTGAGTGAAGCAAATCATTATTATCTAATATTAGAAATGAGCAAGTGTGTTTGTTGAATTTATTTTTCTTTCAGCAAAGAAATAACGATAATAAGAAAATACGTAGTACGTACATTTTGCCCCTTCTTTGTCTTATTTCTAGTGTTTCCTTTTGTATCTATCACTGTTTCTTAACTATAAAAGATACAGGTAGCGCCATCTTTTTACACATTTTGATACTTATCAATGTGGTACTCTAGAATACGGTATCGAAGGTAGTATGTACAAAAGCTCACATTTATAATATAGTAGATTAATAGCAAGTGTTATAAAGCCTTTTACTACAATTTAAAATATTATTGCT